AAGGGATCTTTGCTAGTGGGGTATTTCTCGTTTCCCGTGGAAGGTTGGGGGCAGGATGCCATCGAATGTTTCCACGTGGACGTCCAAAACCTCATGGCGCAGCACCTCGTGCTCGCGTCTCGGTTTTCCAGGTTGACAAGTTTGCCCGTCTACTTTCACCACCCACATGGCTGTGGCTCTTGGATGTGACGCTGCGGAAGTGCTGGGATGGCTGTGCCTGACAGGCACAGAAGCTTAAACATAGAGACAGGCCCCGCTGTGCTGGCGACGGCGGCGGCGGCGACGGCGGCGTGGACAAACAGCTCCCAGCTCTCCTCCGACGATACCACCTGATGCCGAAGCCTAATGGTGCTTAATGAATTCTTCGGATTCGACAGCTCACTGCTTGTGGAACCCAGACATCTTGGCATGGTACGGTAGTTTTGAAGCCTTTTCGAGTTTCCTTGGGCAAACCAGGAATTCAATTTACGCCCCTGTCGCGCTGAACTCAAATTGTTTCTTCAAAGGTCAAAGGTCAAAAAGGGTCAAAGCTCCCAGGATTAAACTTCATCACGAGGGTGTCGGGATGCCAAATTAAGTAGGCTTACGAAAGGAAGCTACAGACTTTACGACCGTAATTCCCGGCAAGACGGGCTTTTTCGGTCTTTGAAAGCGTAAGCCTCCTCGGGATTGAACATGAAGATCTCGCCCGTCCGTGAGACGGTGAGACACACCTTTTCTCGTGATCGATAGTACAGTGATGTAGGTCGCGCTAGCCAAGGCACCCGCAATGCCGAGCACCGCCTACTCCGTATCCGTACAGAATATCTGTTCGGATCCGGAAGACCGTTTGCGCTTGCCAAAAAGGTGCATTTGGTGTAGAGATCTCGTGGGAGGTAGCCAATCGATTCGGAATGGGGGGATGGAGGCACGGTCGTTTTCCGTAGGTGGATTTCTCACGATTCTTCAGCTGGTGTTGTGGGAGTGGTTCACGTCTAGCGGGGTTGGTCACATCGACCGTCGTGAGAATTCGTGACTTGAGAGGTACCTGCGATACTAGTTCTGCATGATGAGTCGTGCATGGTTTGATTTCACCCTCGTGGACCGTAGCGGTGTGTGATTGTGTGGGTGGGTGGTGATCTTCATCCTCTGGGTCCCAATGGATCATTGGATACGGGTAGCTACCAGAGCCTTGGAAACCAACAAAAGCTGACAGACAGCTCCAGTGTGGATGACTGACTTCATCCCCCGCTCGGGCTGCTGGGTACGGTGCACTACTTGCGTACAGATGCACACCGGACGATAGTAGTGTAAGTGTGATGAGCGGATGACATCGCGTGGAAACTTCAAGCGGACTATGTTTATGAGTCGTGACAGCTTCTAGAGAAAGAGGGGAGGCCCGTGCCCGAGAACCGTTGCTGACGCATCACATTTCACGCGGCACATAACTGCCGTGCCAACGTCAGTACCTATTCCTTAGGCTGCTGCTGGGTTGCGGGCATTGATGGGACGAACATCATCATGATTGCTGCATTGTGGTGGGCGATGTGTCGAGGCCAAAAACTTGGAATTCACAATGGCTGCCCGGTAGAGGATAGGTCATAATACTATTCTGGAAATATAGCACCGAAGGAAAAGGAGATGAGAGACAGGCATGCACATGAGGCTGAGTGACCAGACATGCAGGTACCCGTGGCCCCGTGCTTCCTGATTTGCGCGCCCTCGCTTGAACTGTGGCAAATTAAAGAGTCTCGCGGATGCGACACACAACGGAGCCTCAAAAAGAAAAGCCAATAGCTTTCTTTCTCTCTCTCGGACTTTCTCCCTGGGGCATGGAAGGAAAGCTCCCGGAATACTGCAAGGGAGGCCTATGATAGCCTATGGCCTCAATTGCAGGATGAGGCTTGTTGCCCCGGGAAAGCACATTGACAGGGGACACGAATTAGGACAATGATGAGAGATTAGGCACTGGGGGTGGCGGTTATTAACAGAACCGAACTATCGGTTTTCACTGATGCAGTCAGCTTGCTTCGTCTGATGTGAATTCGTCACTCTACGGCACGTGAACACTACCTGACTGCAGTACTAGACCAGGGGATGAACGGTTCATTGGGTCCAGAATCCAGGAACAAGGGATGACACATCATGATAGCGACAGTGGGAAGAAGATGGGAATACGGAGTTATAATGGGAACGTTGAGGAGCCTCTAAATCCGCTCCACGGACTATGTTAGCAGCAGCAGCTTGGGTCGACCAAACAATTGGCCCTTGGGAGGCACGGAGAGGATACAAAACGGACCTGCCGCGGAGAGCGGCGCAAAATTCCACAAAGGTGAGCTCCGTTGCCCAGGGATTGCAACGCCCGACGCAACCAGAATTCTCCAGAAATTAAGCTACATTTTTCTATTCATGTGTCCATTCGACGAACCCCCATTTCGGTGAAGAGATTTCTCTTCTGGACCTTTCTGGACCTGGTTGCCTGTGGTTCACGATTACAGTTCGCACTTTCACAGTCCACCTTCGTCAGCCCAGCCCTGGCGCGAGGTCCGTCATGGCCTCTTTTTCCACTGTTCTTCTCATATTCTGTTGTTCACTAATCCCCACAATAACAACGACAACCTCGGGTGGGGTCACGATCTGGTCAGTGACCCATCATCGTTTCTTTTCCCGCCGCCTCACTAGTTCACGCGGTGGGCACCCTCGTCTTCTCAATACTTAGCGTACTCCATCGACTTGGACCCAACCACGGGCCGCTATTTCTGGGCGAATTTTGGCAGGGCGAAAAGAGAGTTTTCTGCCGTGTTTTACAAGAAGAAACGAAGGATACGATGGGCAGAAAAACGGCATCTGTCCTGTTTGTGACTGCCGACGGGAGACAGATTCATCAAACATCACCCTGCCGCATCCGCGTCCGCCTTGTAAAGATGCAAATTGGCAAATTGTAATGGTTTTTTCTTTCTGCCCAGCTCTTGACATACAGAAAAAGAGCCGATGTAGCCGCGCCAGCCGGTTCCTTCACAATTTTACCTCCCCCCCCCCCCAGGCGTTTCGGCTTTCGAGGAGCAAGTGCTGTCCTACGATGGAGACTGGTCGGTGCTTTGCACACCTACACACCCTCACGACGCAAGCGCGATGGGCGGCTGCTACTAGGGCATTGTCATAGCACCCGTGCCGTTGTGAATGCCGCTACGTGTGTGGGCTTTCCAAGAGTCACGAGTGGCGATGTGGATGTAGGTGCTGATCGTGATATCGGCGTCGCCTCATCGATCTGGTTTAGGACTGGGAGCCATTGCGCTCACGGGACCTTGGGCAGAAGTATTTCCAAGGAAATTCGAGAGGAGCCTCCTTTCAGATGGTATTGCCTGCCGCCTGGTCATCATCATCATCGAATCTATGATAGGTTCTGCATGAACAGCTAAACCAAGCGGGTTAGCTGAGCACAAGGCTGGCGACCCTCACGTCAGGGTGAGCCTCGATATATCGGCGCTCAGCTTTCGCCCTTGCATAAGCTCCGCCATCACCTTTCCCGTCCCGAGACTCAGACTGATGCCCCAAGGCCCATGCCCCGCCGCGAGGAATACACCGCCCTCGGCACCGGTGCGCGTCGCGACGCCCCCAAGCCTGTCGTCCGGGATCCGGGTCAGGATGGGAGCGCCCGAGTCCGTCACCGGACGGAAACATAGACCCTCCCGGACGACTTCCAGGTCCGATCCGCTCTCGTTGCTGTCCTTGATGATGCACGCCGCCGTGCTTTTAAGTTTGGCGATGGCTTCAGCGGAGATGGGTGCTTGGCCTGGTAGAGGCGGGAGAGGGGTGGATGGCGAGTTCAGGCCGGCAATGTAGACGTTGCCTCCGATCCGCGAGAATAGCTCCGGCGAGAAGCCGGCGCCGTCGGTGCTAAAGATGGCGTGGCAGGCTGTCGTAGCCTTCCGATTCTCGTCACTCGATTCTGAGGGGCTGGGCTTTGGCTTCACGACGAGCGAGTGCCCCGCGAGGCTGGAGATGGGCACCTGTAGTGATGTGCCGGGAAACCGCTGGGAGAAGACGCGAGGCGACCAGGCACCGGCGGCGATGACTATGCGGGTGCAAGGGACATCTGTCTCTGTGGAGGATATCGTTTCTCCTATTCTGACCGAGGACAGTTCGTCGCGAAGGTCGGTGTGGATGGAGAGGACTGTGGCTGGGTGGTGTACGTGAACGCCGGCAGATTTGCATTCTTCGAGGAGAAAGCGGCATAGGCGGAGCGGATCCCTGGTGATTGGATTTCAATACATGCTCAGCCAGCGTGTTGAAGTGGATTGGTACAGAGAGAGATAGAGAGGGTGTGTACAGCACATGGGTGCATGAGTGCATGAAGCTGGACTGGAGACGCACACTTGGCCCGTGGTTTCTGGTTCCCCGATGATCTGGACGTCATCGCCGTGCTCCCTCCTCAGCCATGGCGGCCCATCATTTGGATTCTCGAGGGCTTCGACAACCTCTGCTCTGCTCCCGCCGTCCCGTAACCAGTCGGCGTCTTTCTTGCCCTTCTTTACGGGTGCTGCTGCGTGACTGAATGTGGTGCTCGTGGACCAACCCCATTTCTCTCTGCCACCATGCTCCTCAGCAAGCTTCTTGTGCTCGTCAAAGCTCAATGCTCCAAGGGAGGCTAAATCCGGTGAAAACCAGTCTCTTGCGAGGAAGCCGCCTGCATACCCTGAAGCTGAAGCGAAGAGCTCTGGCGAAGGGTCAACAAGGTGGATTGTCGAGCCTGGTTGATGGTCTGCTAGGTAATGTGCAATTGATCGGCCAATGATGCCAGAGCCAAGTATTACTGTTGAGCTCATTGTCGCAGTGTTGTCAAGAGACAATGCCTTGTAAACTGTTGAAAGGAAGCTTAAAGCTCGAAGATGGAATCTCGAACAATGACGTTATGTCATGGGAGCTCAAGCTCAAGCAGACCGGAGCTCTCGACCCCGCCAAACTGATAAGATAAGGACACTCAATGCTCCACGCCCCGCTCCACGGCACAAGTGCAGAAACAGCAAGAGCGCTCCGCTGCATCGGAATGGCGCAAGCCTCCCAGTCAATCTTCGCGTTGCAGAGTCTTTTTTCTTCTTCTCCCTCTTGCTGCACTTCTGTCGTTGATGATAAATCGGGAATAAAATCAAATATAGCCACCAAGCCTGACTTCTCATATTTCGCACAGCACCCGACATCACACACAACATGGCCTCCAAGGTAATCATCGTGACCGGCGCCAGCCGAGGCATCGGCCTTGCCATCGCCCAGCACCTCATCCAGGGATCCCACAAGGTTGTCTTGGCGGCCAGATCCAAGGATCAGTTGGAGGCTCTGAAGGTTGCTCATCCCGGGCAGGTTGAGTATGTTGCCGGGGACTTGGGGGATCTCAAGGTAGGACTAGAAAATGGCTCCGATAAAGAGTTCAGAATTGACAATGAGTGCAGACAATCCCAAAGATCGCCGAGGCTGCGGTCAAGGCCTTTGGCAAAATTGATGGACTTGTCATCAACCACGGCGTCCTGGAGCCCGTCACCCGCTTAGCAGACTCTTCAATCGAGGAATGGAAAAAGGCATACGACATCAATGTGTTTAGTGGGCTCGCATTGGTGAGTAAAGACTCTGATTTCGTTCTTCTATGACTCTCTAACCTGACAATCTCAAGGTCCAAGCATCTCTGCCCGAGCTGCGCAAGTCCAAGGGCTGCGTCCTCTGGGTGTCCTCCGGCGCGGCCACTGGCGCATACGCCGCATGGGGAGCGTACGGCACATCCAAGGCCGCCATGAACCACCTCTCTGCACACTTGGCAGTAGAGGAACCAGACATCACCAGCATCGCCCTGAGCCCGGGCCGCGTTGACACTGCCATGCAAAAGGTCATCCGCGACACGGGAGCCGGACACATGGCCGACAAGGACCACACCTCCTTTGTGTCTGCTTTCGACAAAGGAGAGCTCTTCAAGCCTGAGCAGCCCGGCAGCGTCATGGCGCGGTTCGTCGTCAAGCCTCAGCACGACCTTTCGGGCAAGTACTTCAAGTGGCAAGCCGGAGAGCTTTCGGCGTATCATGATGCGGAGTAGAATAGTTCACTGGGGGTTCATTGTTAGCAAATGTTTTGTCATAGAAATGTACATAGAACAACATTGATAACAAGATGCCTCAGATGAAAGATGAAAAGCTCATATGTTATTCCACATTGTTTATTCAGGATTAGCATGGAATATGTTTCATCATCACTGGCAAGCCTTTGCAGGCGATATTGAAGAAATTTTCGCGTTTGCAGCTTACCTTGAACTAGAGACCTGTGGACGTGACATGGTGAGCAAAACTCGCAGTATCCAGCATGATAGCCATCGTCATCTGGCACCCATTATCAAGCCAACCAAGGAAGATATGAATCGGGTGCCCAGAATCGAGAGCTATCCATCGCTACTGGCGCTGTCGGGTGTATAGCAGTAAGTCGTTTAAATTGGCGGTATGCGCTTGCCCTTCCTGGAATCATTGTTAGCAATGCGGTCTCAAGGCTAGAACTGCAGAAAAAGAATGATTCATGGTGATAGATCAGGCGTTTCCGTTTGGCAGGAAGGTCATTCACCACTATGAGGGGAGTTATTCCTCGTAAGTTTGGGGCGACAACAAGACTCATCATATCGAGGGGAGGGCGGGAAAGAGGGAAGAGGAAAGACCTACCAAGTTCAATCCAAGCAATCAGCAGAGCCGCCGGCTGCTCCGAAATAAGAACGCATGGCCGTTTTCTGAGCTCTGCTGTTTGCTGATGCAAAAAAGAAAAAGAGGCTGAACCATCGTGGAATATCTCGTCTTTTAAGGCTAAGAAAAAATTTGGAGTGATTGGGGTCTGTTGGTCCGTGCAACGCGGAGCCACGGAGGTATCTTTCGCCGGCGCACCGCTGTCCTGTCTCTGAATGGAATTCGACTGAGGTGTGGAAAGTGCGCCCCACCATGGCGGGCCCAGGCAGTGACTGAGCCTTCACTCTGTGGCTCAGGGGCCCCTGCTTCCTCAAGGTCCGCGGGGGATTCAAATGCACTCGATGTCCCGCATCCCAAGGAGCATAAAAGACCCCACCAAACACACGGCCGGAGACTGAGCGAGCCAGACCTACAAAGTCGGCGATTAGCCTAGTCAATTTGCATGTCCACCCCGCCACCGCGTCTTCTTCACCACCAACTACCAATTTCCGTATAAGTCAACGGTTGACACAAGAATACCACGACTCTTTCCGCAGTTCCTCATCTCTGCCAAGGCCAAAGCCTGATACTTGTTGAAGAGCAAACGAAATCGATCGCGTTCCTCACAATCTCGCCAACATTACCAGTTTCATCGACACTGTCGTCTCACACCACAACCATGTCTGACCACGATATTGCGGGTAAGTGAAGATCGATCTTTCCTTCCGCACTCAAGCGTTCTTCATAAGACTTCCTTTACGTTCCGGGTTTGTGCCTGCCTAGTGTTCGCTGCTAGGCCTCAAAGGCGACCTGCGCCTTCTCTGCAAGAGCACCCAAATCCTACCGATGGTCCAGGTATAAGACGTTGCATGATGCAGCTTTGTCCGTATCATGCGACGGTCTCATTGCATCTCCTCACAACATTCTGTTCAGTGTGAGGAACAGTTACAGGCGTATTTATTGCCTGGGCATTTTTTTGGTGTTCGCTCAGCCTGATTCTCGAACTTGAGCGCTGACATGATCTTACTAGGCAACGATGACTTGTCCTTGCCCAAGGGTACGTGACTTCACCCCCAAGAGATGCTCGCTCTCATGGTGCATCTCTTGCTTCCCCTCGTCGGAGAATTTCAAACTAATATGTCACACAGCCACCGTCCAAAAAATCGTCACCGAGATTCTGCCGCCCTCAGCCGGCGTTGCCTTTGCCAAGGAGGCTCGTGACCTGCTTATTGAGTGCTGCGTCGAGTTCATCACCCTCATCTCCTCGGAAGCCAACGAGATCTCAGAGAAGGAGGCAAAGAAGACCATCGCGTGCGACCACATCACCAAGGCCCTCGAGCAACTGGGTTTTGCGGACTACGTCCCGGCTGTACTAGAGGCTGCCGCAGAGCATAAAGAAGTGCAAAAGGTATGTCGAGACTTTGCGCCAACCCGCGCACATACAAAGGCGAAGGGATGTTTGATCACTGACAACCTGCACAGGGCCGTGAAAAGAAGGCAAACAAGTTCCAAAACAGCCAGATCCCCCTTGAGGAGCTGGAGAGAATGCAGAGAGAGGCGTTTGAGGATGCCGCCAACCGCCACGCTTAGGCAATATCGGAATGACGAAAAGAATAGGAGTTGGCTGCGTTTGATTCCGCATTGTTTTGGAGTTTGGCGTTTAGGATACACTGGGAGAGACATGATGATTCAACAACGCTGACGAAGGCATGAATCCGGCTCGCGGGCCGTGGTGGGGTTGGCTTTGACGAAAACGACCCTTTGGCATATGGATTTCGAGTAGTCCTCTCGGCACATCAATATAAAAGCTCATATTGTACGGGTCCAGCAACACCTTTTAGTTTCGTTTGCTCCGATACGACGTCTCCTATCTGCATGAGTATACATGATCGACCTATATATATCGAATTCGTTAACATCCCTCATAACCGTTCTCCCAAAAAAATCAACAACGCCAAAGTTCCCATATGTATACATGGAAACCGCAATCCATGTCCCGTATGTATCCCATCCCAACGTCATATCTACCACAATCGTCGCTGGTAGTACACCCTCTCTTCGCTCTCCGACAGCCGCCTCAGCTCTTCCTTGATCAAACGCCGTCTCTCGGCCCGGCTGATGGGCTTCTGGTTCGACGCTTCGGGGTCCGGGTTCGCCTGGTCCTTGACGTTCCACCCGTTGATATTCCGCTCCCTCTCGTCCATCTTCTCCAAGTCCTCCCTGCTGACTCCGCCCTGATCCTCCTTCTCCGACGGCCCCATCATCTTTTGCCACATGTCGGATGTCCATCCCGCTGCTTTTTTTCCGGCCTGTTGCTTCTTTGACTGCTGCTGCGGCTGCTCCTGCTGTTGCTTCTCGGGCACTGTTGGGTTCACCTCGATGATGATCTGCTCCTGCTTCCCGTTCGCGACCCCGTAAAGCGGCACATTTTGCCCGTTACCTGCTCCTGCGTCCTTTAGATGCTCGGGAACGTAGTACGATGCCTTGGGTGAGGGTCGCGATTCGGGTTTGATGGCTTCGCGCAGCTGATTCAGCGTGCGCTGCTGAATTACGTAGCCACTAAGAAAGAGGGCCGCGGTACATGAGACGACTGTTGGATTTACGAAGAAATGCGTTTGCACGCAAACGCGGCTCGCCGCCTCGCGTGCAGGAACGCATTTGCTGAGATTAGCCTGTTTGTTCTGTTTGATTTGGGAGTTGCAGGACTGGAATGCGGGAACGGGGGGAAGGGCGGGTGTTACCGATGGCTGAGGAGATGAGGACGGAGACTTGGGAGGAGGTGAGGAGCACCATGGCAGCAAACTGTGGAATTTGGTAATAGAGAAATGGTTGTTCTTAGATTTTTCAATACTTCAGGTGGATGCCCGCAAGTAGTTTGAATGATTTGAGGATAATTTAGAGCTTCGGTGATGGCGTCGGCTTTTCACCCTTGGCCAGCGTCGCAGTCGTTAGAGGTGCGCGGCGTGAGCGTGAACTTGGAAGTGGGCTGTTTACTTGGTTCGCACGGCAACAATCGATAAGCGCCTTCCAATTCGGCACGGCCTCCCAACTTTTCCAACCTGCGTCACTCGCGAAAGCTCCCGTCGCATCACTGCCCACCCCACTACCCGAAGAGCTACCCTGGACGAAACGCGACTTCAACTCCAGCTAAGCCTAACTTTCATCGAGACTTCCTGCATCACGATCGATTCGCAGAATCACACGCCGAAACCTAGACGACAACACCCTACCTAATCTCCCTCCTGAATAAGAGACGCAAATCGCAAAGATGAGCAAACCCGACCTCGTCTATGCCGACGAGCGGCGCTTCCTCGACGAACGCGGCTCCTCGGCCTCTCTAGCCCCCAACGGCGAGAACCCAGCCACAATCATGGAAAAGGCCGTCCGCGAGCGCATCATCGACTCCTATTTCTACAAAGAGCAGTGCTTCGCCGTCAACGAGGCGGATATCGTCGACCGCGTCGTCGAGCACGTCACCTTTATAGGCGGCACCTCAGGCGTCACGCAGAAGCCCACGCCGTTCCTGTGCCTCGCTTTCAAGCTGCTGCAGCTCGCGCCGTCGGACGAGGTGCTGGAGACATATCTGAGTTTTGGCGGGGAGAAATTCAAGTACCTGCGCGCGCTGGCGTGTTTCTACGTGCGCATGACGAGGAAGGCAAAGGATGTGTACCTGTTGCTGGAGCCGTTCTTGGAGGATCGGAGGAAGTTGAGGCGGAAGGGGAGGGCGGGGACGAGTTTGACGTTCATGGATGACTTTGTGGATGATTTGTTGACCAAGACGAGGGTGTGCGCGACGAGTTTTAGGGAGTTGCCCAAGAGGGTTGACCTGGTTGATTTGGGCGAGCTTGAGGAGAGGATCAGTCCTTTAGGTGATATTGACGAGCTCTTGGATGACGAGGAAGAGAACGAGGAGAATGCAGGAGCGAATGGGGCGGACGAGTCGGAAGGGGAGGTAGCTGAGGATAGGAGCGGTGCTGGGGAGCCGATGGATGTGGAAAGGTCGAGGTCAAGATCGAGGTCGAGAAGCAGAGACCGGTCTGCTTGAGTATATGGCGATGGCGAAGAATGATACCCAGTCTCTTGCTTCTACTGAGCAGAGTACAAAATAGACAAAAGCACGGTTTGGATGCATGAACCTTATGGGCTATAGTGCTTGAGGAATCTATAACTGATCGATGTATCATACAATCATGACTAATCATTTAGAGATGCAAAAGACAAAAGAGTTCACCCCCCCGGTGCTGAACTGGGGGCTACATCTCTGGCGCTCATGCTGGGATTCGAACTCGGGTACTCGCTAAGCCTGTCGTCGAGTAGGCTGGTTGGCGTGAATAATTGGTGACCATTAACCATTCCACCACCCACGCCACAGTTTGACCCGACCCCCGACCTAGAGGGCGCCTGCTGTGCTGGTGACGAGAATGGAATTGAGTAGACCTATAGAGGCTTCTCTCGTGGCGTCGAGGTATCGGATGAAAGGGTGGGCGGGCTGACCCCCCAGGGTATATTCCATGTGTATTCTACTATACAGTACGATTTTTCCAGACCGTCGCCTCTCACACGGCGAGGCGTATTCTTACACAGTGCTTGCGAGCCATCTGGCGGTTGACTTATGATCAAGCAGACAGTTGACGAAGGAGATTCTTGGCCACGCTGAGCAACCGCTTGTCGTCCCAGTACTGACCGATCAGCTGGAGACCCGCTACACTGCGGCTACCGTCCACCTCTTCTTCCTTCGCCTTGATTTTGGTAGGAATGCTGATCGCTGGTAGTCCAGCCAGACTAGCCGGCACCGTAAAGACGTCATTCATATAAACCTGCACCGGTGTCTGCTGCTTGATATCCTCAATGCGCGGTGCAAAGGTCGGCGCAGTGGGACATAGCAAGAAGTCCACCTGCGAAGGGCCAAGCTTATCCTGGAGCTCGACCTCGTCCTTCATGTCGCTCAAGTCGAACTGCTGTTCGTCGTAGAGAGGATTCTCCAGTCTGAAAACGCGGTCAAAGTCTCGTTGGACGAGCTTGCGCACCCGCTGCGCTTGAATAAAGTAGTTATCCATCGCCTCGGAGCTCAAGCTGTAGGCACCGAGGAGGATGCGGCGCCTGACTTCCTCGCCGAATCCGAGGCCGCGAGTTTTGGAGTACAGGACCTCGCCGGCGCCGTCGCTCTCGTCGCCGCGGGTGCCGTAGCGTACGCCGTCATATTTGGCGAGGTTGGAAGATGCTTCTGCCGGTGCGATGACATAGTATGCTGATAGAGCGTGTTTTGTGGACGGTAATGATACCGGAACCACCTCTATGCGGGATTTCTCCAAAAGGTCTGCTGCGTCAAACCAGGCTGCTTTGATCTTGGGGTCCAATTCCTCGATATTGTATTCCAGGGGAATGCCGATTCGAAGCTGTGACCGACCAGCTGCCGTTTGGTTCTGCTGCTTCTTCCGGAAGCTCTTTGACAAGGACGTCGGGTCCTGGGAGTCATGCTCCGCGTCCAGTGCCATTCTGAAAATCAGGTCCTCGATAACGTCAACGTCCCTAGCAAGTAGACCAACGGTGTCCAAGGAGTTCGCATACGGAACAACCCCGAACCTCGACAGCATGCCATAGGAAGGCTTATATCCGACCACGCCGCAGTACGCCGCAGGAAGGCGAATTGAACCGCCCGTATCCGTCCCCAGCGCGACGTCCGCTTCGCCGGTCTGAACTGCCACCGCACTGCCTCCTGAGCTCCCGCCAGCAGAGGTGGGCGTCGCAGACAGCGGGTTGAGCACCGGACCGTGAATGGAGTTTAGCGAGTGGGATCCCATGCCGAATTCGTCCATATTTGTCTTCCCTACGACTTGAGCACCTCGTTCTCGGAGTTGGCGCACGATGGTGGCCTCGTAGGGGCTTTTGTGGGGGGAGAGGATGGCAGAGGAGCATGTTGTTGGCAGCCCTTGGGTCGCGATATTGTCCTTCACCGCTAGCTTGAACTTGTTCGCCGATTCGAGGGTTTCTTCGGGTGCAGCTGTAGTTGCTTCGGAGGCATCTACGGGTTTCGTGTTAGCTGTGGCACAATCGAGGTGGGATGGGTGGGCTGCCTTCGTACCTAAGCGGCACACGAAGTGATTGAAGTCATGGCGTGAGCGTCTCTGCTGTCGAGTATCTTGCGCGCTGCATCTTAAGCTCAATGGCCGCAGATTTAGCCGCGAGAGCTTGACGTGAGAAGACATGTGGCTACAATGGCCAGCCGGTGACGTTGTTTCATGTAGCTTGTGGGCTTTTTGGAGAGCTTCTCGTCTCGGTGAACGTTGGGGTCAATTCACCGAGGGCCGGTGCATGACTAAGCTCATTCGGAATGGATTTCAAGGTCCGGACCCACGTCCGATGAATAAACCTCTCTGAACCAAAGTCAACTGCATACGACGTTTTGCTTGCTTGACCATTGCTAGTTTTGACATGCTAATGTCTCAACCCAACATGAATCAGAAGCTGTGCGGTACACGGGGGATCATCTCTCGTGAATCATGTCCATACATGTTCGTAAATCATTCCTTGCCGTGCTACGTAATTGGTAAACCATTAGAACCTGCGACATGCTAAACGGCATCCCGCTATTGGCCTGACCAACGAATGTGACCATTGTTTTATTTCCTCCAAAACGTCAAGGTCGAAGCCTGCCAGATCAAGTATCTCTGATTGAAGCATCCTTTCATCTCCTCCAACGCTTCAGCGCAAGGCTAATCGTCTTCATCACTGGTCGTGGCAAACAGCTTTAGAACGTCGGGCTCTCGAACGTAGACCCAGTCCCAAAATACGTATGCACGTCTCCTCAGCCACCTGTTTTCGAGTCTGTAAACCCAGAAGAGTGGCTGCACAGAAGTGTTAGCCGCATACCAACCCGCGTAAGGCCCCTTGTCCGTATTACAAATGTTCTCGTAGGCGGGAATTATCGTCGTGAGCTCGGATGTGCTCATGTCTTCCAAGTTGGTGCTGTTGTAAGCATGAGAATCCATTATACACACCAATGCCTCGGGGAGATGAGTCCAGCCGGCATTGATCGCCGATACAAGTAGGACTCGCTTAGACTCGTGAGAATCTGTCGACATCAAGCGACGAAGGAAGTCGAGTCCGTGAGAGAGCTATGTTGCATCCAGTCAGAAATCAAGTTGCATACTTGAAACACATTCTGTCCTACGATTGGTAAAGTTTAATGACCCATATCTGTATCATGATGTTATTTCCCCCGGTCGTGAAATAGTCGGTCTGATATTCGTCAAAGGGGGCATTGTAGGCAAAGACATCGGAGGACGCTGATCAAATATGTATCGGTAAGTAAATCAGAGCATATCTTGACACCCAAAGAACTCACCTTCCTGATATTTCGCCTTAATGAAGTCATGTACGCAGCCGAGTTGCTCGTTCTCCCACGGCGGGTGTCTGTGCAAGAGCAAGTTGCCCTCTCCGAAACCCGTGTTGAAGTTCCCAACCGCGCCAAAGAGGACGTAGAACAAGTCGACGCGATAGAAAGCGCGGCAGAAGCGGGAGTATTCGGAAGAAGACAGACCGACGGCCTCTGATGATGTTGTGATGTCACAGGAGAGGTGGATTTTGACTTCTGCAGTTGAGTGCTAGGGTAGTCACCCAATCGTGCTTGCGCGACAGATTTCGCAAGAGTTCCGGAGGCATCGAAGCGGTTCTGGCTACCAGCTGTGAAGGGTCATCGTAGAGTAGGTCGAGCAAGCCGCAGAAGGAACTCTCATCTCCCGGGCTTGGCTCAAGTCTTGACGCATCCAAAGACGCGACGGAATATGGGAGTAGATCTAGCCCGATTCTTCCACGAAGAATGGCCAATTCGGTGCCAGGGATCTGCTTGAAGGAGGAATAAATATGGCGACATGTAAGCAAAGCTGAGGTGAGAGTCTCAAAGTCGTCCAGGCTTCGTAGAATGGAAGCCACCAGCTCGCAAGGAATGTCTGTAATCGAAGGCATTCTCACGTTGACCACAATTTGCGACCGCGATTCTGTCTGGAAAGCGAAAACGGAAAAAATGAAAGCGAGAAGGAGAAAGGAAAGCCAATGGAGTTTCAAGACTTAGTGATGTAAAAGGAAGGCCGGGTCGACCGCAAGGCTGAATAAGTGATGGGAAGGAAGTCTGTCTCTGGCATGGCGCACTGTGGGCAGGTGGTCACTTCTCTAACAGCATTCACCTCACCGTCCACCAGACCGTCCACCAGACGCAGGGACGCAAAAAATGCCCCAATTGTTGCCTGTGAGCCGTAACGTCTTTGATCATAACATGCCATATTCTCTTTCACTGTTCACTTGCCGGTTTGTCATGGTAATGTTTGTTGGTTAGCGCGAAATAGGCCGTTGCCAACAGCCACATTCACTAAGTACAATGATTTCATCGTCACTATTGTTTTTAGTCTTCATTTCTCATCGAGGTGAAATTCATAGCCATGCGGCCTTCTACGGCTCATGAGAACAAGGAAAAGACTTCGCTTCCACAACGTTTGCGATTAGCCGCGTAAATTCGTCATCAGCCTCCCCATTTTCCAGCCTTCTTTTGAGATAATGCGGGTTCGGATCTATGATATATCTGGCTCTGACACCAGCACGTCGCGGAATCTTCACTTGAAGTCATTGTTCGCGGCTTGGTAGCAAGGCTTCAGACCAAGGGAAGGTGATTCTCAGCCATAGCACCAGTTTTGGGCTAGGTATGGTTTATTTTAGGTGTCAGCCTCAGAGTCCGAGAAATCATCATCTTTGTCAAGGCTCGACACATGATCATGTTCGGATGGTTGTCACTCATCCGTACATGCGTTACAAGAAAATTGATTCACTAACATTGACGTGTGGAGGGGAAAGCCGCAAGGGGTTGACTTGGCAAGCTTTTCAAAGACAAGTCGCAGATGGTGCTACGTGTAGGCAGTATACTGAACCAGATTCCATTAATGTTATAGTAGTCCCAAGACAATTACCTCTATCCTGTATGTCTCTTCTCTACCAAAGTGCTGGCCATCCCTTTGTCTCATCTATAACTTCTACTTGTGACCCACTGCCTTCTAAACACTTGCGGACAAGGCTGACTTCTCTCTAGCTGCTGCTGGCGCCGGATCTTTGACTCAAGTATCGCTCCCGTCTGTGGCCGCGTTGTGTTCGGGTTTATCGTTGTTACCACCGCCCTCGCGCGATTCTGAATTGAGCGCATGGTTTATGTCAAGTCTTTCTCTCTCTTTTTTGTTGAAAACAAGTCCCGGGTGTCCGACCAAAAGGGAAAAAACGGCCAAAACCATAACACTTGGCAATGTCAATAAGCATTCTTGTCAAGCATGGAACAGGAACACTTACGCTGACTCCAACGCGATAAACAGGGTTTCGTCTCGGAACCAGTGACTGAAGTAGCCCTCATGTAGCTCGACGATTCTGTAGACGCAACGTAGCAGTACAAACATGGTACCAAGGCCCAGGAAAGCTAGGAAGACCATGAGTCTTCTGCTCATCGGAGGGCGAGTCTTTGATCGAGTGTAAGCAATCATGTAGTCTCCAAAAAGTCCGCAGAACGCCGCAAGCGAGACAACTTGTAACACAAGCCCAGCGAGTGAAATCTTGACGCCTCGGTCCGCAGCCTCCTTAGTTGTGCTGACGGACGACATCGCGCCTCCTACAGCCTGAAGAATCAAGGAGACAATGTCAACCGGGATAAATGTCCAGTAGTAGAGGCGAGGCGGAAATCGGGAAAGCGATCGATCGAGGAAGTTGATGCTGAAGAAAGGCCTACTCAGTATCCACAGCTTAGGCAACGAAAATTTCTGCAAGCTCTTACGTTTGAGAAAGTGTAACGTAAATGGCGGCAGAGAAGAAGACCGGAGCTATTGTGATGCAGACTGAGAGAGATTTTAGCTTTAAGATCTTTCAAGTGAAGCAGGCAATTCATATAAATCCCTTGAAGGAGGGCAGAACACTGACTAATTTGCATGAGAAATCCGTTAAAGTCAAATGGATTGTCGTGGATGAAGAGTCTCCCTACGTAGCCAACGATTTCCAAAACACAACCACTGATCATGCTTGCTGCGAACCCCCAAGTTTTCCACTTGAACCCCAAAATGGCGTGTAAAGCCAAGGCTAAAGAGAAGAACCCGATAAAGGTGCCGCTAGCGGGAACAGAAGGCTGGTAACGAAGAATACTCCATTCTATCGGACAAAGGTCAAGTGTACAGTTGGCTTCAGGTCCGAAAGCGATGAGGCCGTCGGGTAAGTCCGCCATGTTGAGTGATGCACCGACGAAGTGTGAGGTGAAGCTGACGACAAAATTGCAAACGATTCGGGCACTATGGCTGGCGATGGCGGCTCCATGCACCGGGGCGAGTCGGCACGTAGGAAGTTTTATAAAGCTCATTTCATGCCAAGGGACGGGATTTAGAAAAAAATCGGCAGCTAGAGTCTACTCAGTCATCAATGACCCAGCTCTCCGGTGTTCCGCAGGAATCGGGCAGAAAGGGTGTCCGACACACCAAGCCCGCCTCGCACAGGTGCAGTGAGTCCGCACATCGCGTCAGAACGTGGCTTAGACGCATTCCGCCGTGGCCCACTTCCTACATGTGCCTAGTCACAACTTGCAATGGCCTGACAAGGCCTGAGCTATCTAATCTAGCCGCCAATCCGCTGGTTCTCGTTGGGATTTCGCCAACAGCTACCTTATGCACACCTGCTTTAGACACGTCTTTTCCCAGTCAAATTTGTCACAAAAGAAAATGTTATTTGGCGTACGACTGACGTGGGCACAAAAGTTCTGAAATTGGAACGCTTGGCCAACATCTCCTCCGCCCGGTTAACGTGATAGAGCACCTCAATCTGAATTCCCACACGAGGACGAAACTCTTCAGCTTTCTACGTAGAAAGATACGAGTCCCCTAAGAAACCATTATCAAAGACTTTCTGGTGAATATTCATACGATAGAAAAGCCAGAGTGAATTAGACTCATATCGAAATCCCCGAAACGCGTGGATATTTTGCGCTAAAGAGCGGTGATGGGTTTAGTCTGACGTTTGGCATCCTAGTCAATCTTGCCTTTTTGGGACAAAATCTCGCGGCGCTAGCTGACTGTGGGGCTCTTTCCGGATGGGCCCTACCGGTTGGTCCGCAGACCCATACACTCGAGCTCCGTGGGCCGAAGGAAGAGGAGAGAAACATGGCGATTGTGACGAGAAGCAACATTCCGCTCTAGCCTTCGTCTAGACTGAGGAAGTTTCGTCTATGAATAACAAGGCAGGGCTATTGAAAATCCGTGGCCATCTTTTCGTGTTGTGAGACATCGACTGCCACATATTTCGTAGTCTGTCCAATGCTGATCCGGCTGCTTCGAGCCTTGCTTCAAATGCATGTTGACCCAGTATGACCATATTTTGAGGGATTAGAAGGCTGAGTATTGTGACCGTCTCAAGTCAATAAGTCATGCTGTTGTCAGCCTCTGCCCAAAGTTCCGGGAACTCCACGACTCGGATCACATATCAAAAGGTTTTGAGACATTCCATCTGGCGTGGCAGCTCCCCAAGTCTCTAGCAAGCCTTTTCTGTACTCGTTCGCTAGTCCAAAACCTCGAGATCTGACAATTTCGAGGAACGCAAGCACGCGCGTTTGCTCCGTCGGCGTTTCCATCTCTCGTCCTATGAAGTCGGCAAAAGGTAGATAGAGCGCGACATCAAAGCCTGACTGGCTGGCAAGCGTCTCAACGTAGCTAAGCGTAACTAATGCTTGCTGATGGAGTGATTCGGTCGGCATCACCGGCAGCTCGCACATGAGTGTTTTCCAGGCTTTGTGGTACAGGCGGTGAGACAGGCCAGTGAGAGTCCAATGATAGTAAGGGGTAATGCAGATGGAGACCTGGCTATCGGGTTCTTCTGACAGTTGGAGGAGATCGTTGATGACTCGAGCTTGAAGAACCGATGCCTCGCAGATGATATCGAGGCCTTGTACCTTGAGGTCTATGGCTTCTCTATATTTACCTTCGTTGGAGTGGAATGTCATGGTGCTTTTCTCTACCTTGAGAGCCCACTCAACCATCCTAATTTTGTCAGTAACTCTGTGCCAAATCTATTGCTTATCATATAACAATGACGAGTTAAGAAGCTCACCTTGACTGTAGTCTAGCCCACTGCTGAAGGGAATAGAGCATATCGTCTATTTTGTCTTCGTCTGAACTGGTTCTAGGTGCGATTGGACGTGACGATGAAAGCTCAAAACCCATCTGACGGTCTAACGGTTCTTCGTTCAGGGCAATGGCGGAGAGTGTGTTGAGAAAACTGAAAAATCGGATCAAACTTCTCTCAAACGTAGTCAAGCCGGCGTAGCTCTTTGCTTTTGAGTGCTGTGCAATATAGCTCGAGATTCTCTGGAGCCATCTCTGGAAGGCGCCATCTTCGGCACAAAGGAATAGCTTTTCACTATTAGCCTATAATCAACAGAACACACGAAAGGGTACTTTGAGGCACACCTCGATCACTGCCAACAGGAGAGTACTGAGTAAAACCGAGCTGAAGGATGACGGGTCAGGCTTCTTCAATTCCGTCGCCATCAAAGCCTTCTGTTTCACCCATGTGCCCAAGAGTGTCTTTCTTTCTTTCTGGCTTACGCGCAATACTTGGGGGTTTTGACAGGCGTACAGACCACCCATGATTGACAGCATGCGACTGACGTTCTCATCTCTATGGGAGAGCGCCGTCACATCGGCGCTTCGCATTACCGACGCTTGGGCCAAGCATCCAACCGACTGGAAGTAAGTGCTGATATATTTCCAAGAGTCTTGTACCAACGCCCTAGGGATTGAAGAGGCTTGCTGCTGGATAAACTGAAAGCCCGTGGATGGTCCTGGTGAGGAGCACTCCAGGCCGCGAACTACGCAATTTGAACATGGTCGGCCACCGTTACACTGACAGGAATTAGTTTCGCTCACTTGGACAATTGAGAAAGGGGCTCAAACCTTTGCATGCAACCTCTTGCAAGACGCGCAGCGGTGCCCGGCACGGCGCTGATCAAGCTGCCCGCATGGCATTGGTATGAGTGGTACTGCGACGGCTCTGCTACAGTTTCGACTCGTCCTACTCCGGGGCTCAATATATAGCTCAGGTAAGATGAGCGTCTGTTTGTGTTGTGAAATTGGGTTGATCCGCGGAAGTTGGGTATAGTAGAGTATGGGCGAAGTTGATACGATGTTGTTGTTGGCGAACGGCTAGCCCTTTCCGCGGAGGCCGAAATGGAGCCCACCGCGTCAGCCCCTGTGGCGCCTAGCGGCACCCTTTTAGTGTCCTGTCCTATTACCGCTACCCTTTCTATCACCATTTCCTTTCCTATTACTAGAAGTTTCTGATTGTCTCTTTCTCAAGCTTCTTGAGACATGTTTCAGAAGAATGAGCTGAAAATGAACAAGACAAGTGTCAATAGCGATAAAAGCGCGGACGGCAGTAGTAACAAAGTAACAAAGATGTGGACTTAGTGACTTGAGTGGCAACGCTGTGGCACATCTTCCTTCACGGGACACCCAAGGCCCCACAATGTTCGATTTGATGCCCGGTCAGCTAAGTAAGACGCTGTAGTGCTAGGGAAGCTTAGAAACTCGGAAGCCAACAGCCAGAGGTTCAATACTGTTATGTTTCTCTACATAATGCACCAGTCTCTAAATTGTAGGGAAATCATAGTACGCAACCGAGAACATCGCCCTGTTAGTTACTGCGCATGCCTCAGGGGACCCCATGACAATGACTTCTCAACTATACTATCAATTCAGAATTGTTGACGGGTTAGACCTGGCGCATCTGCTGTTGGCTTAACACAGCACATCAGTCTTTCATCTGATGGCTTGACTCAACCCAGCTGCAACGCCGAAAGTCAGACCCGGGCGATAGTCACTATTGTCATTTCAACACCACGAAACAAGGTATCTAGTACGCCCATAATCGATTCTCAATCTCCAATCTGAGGGATATCACACAATGTTTTATTTTCTAGATATCACCCGTTGTGTCCCTCACAGCCTCTGCAATACTATGAAGGTGACTTCAAGGTTCCATGTCCCTGTATTCGTATCGACCTGATCTCCTTCTCGTGGACTCGTAAAGCAGAAACATTCATACACTGAAGCTGGATGAGAGCACCCCATCTCTCCACACTGCCTTGATGGGAAGGCACCTCCCATTACTCAGAGACAACGCATTAATGACATCGCCCTCAACCAATACCAAGTCTGCCTTTCTACCGCTCTCGATACTTCCACGATCATGGAATTTCAACCGTTCTGCAGTAATTGATGTAGAGGACTTGAGTACATCCAATGGGGACATGCCCGCCTCTTTGATGAGTAAACGCATCTCCATGTGCATCCCAAGACCGTAAGGTAGACCGATACCTCCACCGGCGGCATCAGTTCCTAGAATGAGAGGAACTCCCGCTTCGTATAAAACCTTGGTGTTTGCATATGCATTAAGCACAGAGGACGTGGGCTTCTGCTTCGCGGCCATCCCCATTGGCTCTCCGGCTGTCTTGTGGATGAGCAAGTTTTGGGCGAATGGGTCCTCGAAGAACGATTTCTGGAAGTCTTGGCCTTCTGCTGTTTGTGAAGCACACTGACCAAGAGTTGGATTACAGTGCGCCTTGTTGTTCAACATGATCTGAACGTAGTCATCGCTAGGTGGCTTGTCAAGGAACATGTGGCTCAACCCGTCGGCGCCAGCGCGGAGAAGGTCCATGGCACCAGCATAGCTAAAGGCGTGGCCTGTGGTGGTCACACCATACTTGTGCGCGGCGGCGACGACGGCTTTCTGGATATCCATCGGAGGGCGCGGGAGATCCATTCCGAGAGTGTCGCCAATCTCGTGGAACATCTTGATGTAAGATGCTCCGTTTTCTTCGACTTGCTGTTTGACAAATGTTTCCGCGTCCTCCGGCTCATGCAAGATTGGCCAGGTCGAGACGATCTGGTCAACGATGTGATCTCCGCACGGGTTGTCAGCGAAGACCCTTCTGATCACCGGGATAGGCCATCCGCCTTCGATGACGGCGCCCAGGCCAGCGTATTTGAAGTCTGCGTAAATCGACTTATTCGCCGAGACGCTGGCCAGCTATTGAAAAGTCAGACCATTCTGATATTTCCTGCCTAGGGGGAGTACGTCCCGAACTCACCTGCCTGAGCTTGGCGTTATCGCTTGGCTCGTTGTGCATATCGCAAACCGTAGTGACACCGAATCGCAGGGACTGCTCGATGCTATTGATGTCTCCACCAAGTGCATGAATATGAGCATCGATTAATCCAGGAATTACCGTATCACCAGGCCGCGAAATGATTGGCAACCCGTCCTGGGCATCTCCTAGGAAGCCACCGGCACCAACTTGGGCAATAATGCCATTCTTGA